AGGTGTGAAGAAAAAATTTTCGTCTATATACTAAGACTTTTGGCGGGAAAATTTGGACTGATTTGCATAGAGTTTCCCCTGGCAACTTTTCGGCAAAAAAATTAAATGGGATACGTCTTCAAATTTCCCGCCAAAATACTTGAAATAATAACCCGTGCAAAAAAGTTTTCCTTAAACCTGCTCATTTTCCTCCATACAATAAAAATTTTCAATTGCTTGCACGAGATACTGTTTTTAGCACATAATACAGAGAAGCAACATGAAAAGACAAAGCCCTACTGGTGAAAATTGTAAACCAGAAACCACTATCCTAAAACTATCTTTCAATCATGGGAGCCCATAACTTTTTATGTTGCTTCTGACAGAAAAATAACGATTTTCGGCTGCCAACCTTTGTTTGTAACACAGGATAAATAAAACTTAAAGGCGCAAACAAAAATTTTATAAATTTTATTTTTTTTTTAAACGTTTACTTAATTTTCTCGGGAAAATTGTTAGAAATTTGCCTGTTATGTGAAGTTGGTTTTCATAGGCCATTTTATGAAGTTTTTATGAAATTGATGATCGAGTGAAAAATACGAGTGAGCTGATATGTTGTTAACTCAGTAAGTCAATGAAAATTTACTTCGCTTTTGGAGCGACTATATACTTGTCAAAAATTTTTTCTTTTGCTTATCCACCAAACACGTTAAACGCAAATTTATTCGGAAACACAAGCCAGCATTAGATGGTTTTCCCAGCAAAACATTATTCACTATTAAATTATTTAATTGCTTGGCACTATTTTTTTCAAAATTTCTGTGAAAAAATTGTTTTTGAAATTTGACTTGCTAATGAATTCTAATGAATATGCATTTTTTGATTCCTGTGTTACAAGAAATGCGGCTGAAAACGTCATTTTTCTTCTGCTTACTCATTACAAAATAAGATAAAACACAGTGCCTGGTTAAAAAAAGTTTAGGTTCCGAGGTTATTACTTCCCTTAAAAAAAATTTTGTTGACATAAGAATTAAAACAGGCTACATGAAGCAAATTTATGAGATAAGACACAAAAACAGTTTTTTAAAATTTTCTTTGTGGCTCGTCTTTTCTCTATATTTTGTTTTCGTCACATTTCAAGTAGTCAAAGAGTATGACTTTGTGAAAAATGAATTAAATCACCCGTTGTTTGGTGATCAAGACAAATTATTGGCCGTCGTTCAAATTTTCCTATTTTGAAGACTTTTCTTAAACATTCCTTCATTTTTTTCGAACCAGGCACTGTGTTTCATTTCAATCGGCAATCGGCAAGAGAACAGTGGCACAAAAATTACAGTTTGTCGCTAGCGACCACGCTCGAAAACCTGAGTCATTTCATGTGAGAGTTTACTGAAGTTTTGCAGATCAGTCGAAGGAACTACTTTACAGTCGGATACTGGAGTTTGATTGGTCAGCGGTTGATCAGTTGGAGGCAAAATGGAACGGTCCGTCATAATTTACGTCGCGAATTAGTCGTTTGTAAAGAACAGTGTGTATGTTCCCATGTTCCATAATGTTGTCGTTTAAACAAGCCAATTTTGATCCGGTTAATTGACAAGTGGCCCTTTCGGCATTAAAATTTTTAGGAGCTGATCTACTTTCAATCAATCCCTAACAGTCTCGAATTCGATCTGCTTATGAACAGAAGTCATCGTTGGAGTCAAGTAAAGAGTCGTTTGTCCGTACTGCTGTTAGTTTCCATTCATCACTGTCACGGAGGTTTCATTGGTTAGTTTTGACTCGTACGTAAAGTTAAGGTAACACGTCCGGTTCGTTGGCTATCTTAATTGCATAGTCATTGTTGACGACTGTTGAGGAATTTGTCCCGAGTTAATAGAGAAAGTTTTTCAGAATTGTTTGTGATTGGTCCAGAAAACTTGCACTAGTATCTCAACCACTCAGATACAAAACTAAAACTGATTACGACTTAGTCGCTCGCGTTTTCCCGCTTTTTTCGCAGTTGGGACGTTTATACCTTGAGTTCTCATTGTTCTTCATAGTATATTCCTATCTTCTGATTGGTCGTTGTAATTACTTTGATTTTGCGACGCTCAATCGGAAAGAACTCTAAACCCACTTTCCAAAAACAAAGCTGTTCAAAACATTCTCACAGTTGTGTTTTAGGTTTGACTTTGTTCAGTGTCCTAGTCAAAAATGTGGTTTAAAAGGTGATCTTCGTTTCAGTATTTTGACTCCCAGATCAAATTTTAAATTCTCCTTACTGTCAGCCATACAATTCTTATAATGTTAGTTCAGAGCATTTAGTATTGGATCAAATAATTATTCTCAAATTTATATTTTTTATTCTCATCACTTATCCGGTTGATATTGTATTGATATTGTAAGGAGAAATTTTGTCTTGGTCACTTGTGGGAGTTAAAGAGTTAAAGCTCATACTCGTTCGGTCAGTTTGCGAACAAAAACAGTCTCAAACTCAAAACGTTCCCCGTACTTCAGAAGATTGACAAAAAACACGAGTGGACGTCATTTTTCGTCAGGAGTTGTTCGTTATTAAAATATTAAGTCTGGTTTGTGGGAAATAATCGGTCGTTTTTGCCTTTATGTTACTGGTTGAACAACTCAGGAACCGTTCGTCAGTTTTGATTGGTCAGTTTGGATCAATCGGTACAGTTAAGTAGCCTTATTCTCAGAGTTATTAATGTCAATGTCATTAAAGGTCGTTTCTAAGGAAACTGTACATGTTGACATTTCTTAACATTTGTCCATTCTAAGTTGGTAAAACAGCTCACTTGAATCAGTAATTGAAAATATTGACGCTGAAGGTTATCAATCGAGCAGAGTCCCAGTCAATAATAGTGTGGCAGTGTAATTGTGAATTAATCCAACACTGACATAAAAAATTCTTATTCCCCGTTCATGTTCTGTCAGTTTTAACGCACTTATCGTTTCGTGAATTTGGGACAAAGTTGCAGAATCATGGGATAGTCCTACGAGTGTCCTGTATGAAAGATATCGTCACCTTAAAGAAGTCGGGATTCCGTTCATTACAGTTGTTTCAATAGTTCCTTCACCTAACTCATGCTCTTCCAAAACCATTTATGCTCAAAACCAGCCAAAATGGAAATTAAGAAAAAAGCCATTGTTCTCTTGTCGATCATCATTTACTAGCTTAATGACTGGAAAAGTCGATCTAAATAAGGTGGCACTGTCAACTGTACAACATGAACATTTGTACAACAAACAGTCCTAAGAGGCTGATAATTTCTCTTTGAATGAAATGCACCCAAACTGAGACACCGAAACTTTTTTCATCGTCTTCTTCAATAACATGATGTCTAAATCGTAGCCAAGTGACCTCTCCAGTCCTAGGGATCACATTGTTTATTTGAACTTTTTTAGTTGGTAACCGAGTGATTCTTTTCTCTCAAAGAAACTGAAAATTACGATTTCGTAAAAGTTCTTCTTTCACTTAGTTGACCCGCAGTGCCACCTTAAATGCACCCTAAACCCCAACATCTTGCAGCTAGAGCAAATCTTAATGGTCACGGTGACTTGAGTTACTGAATGCTTTGCATTCCTGAAACTTGGACCGAGAAGTTTGGACCAAACATGAAAGTTGCATACTCAGTTCTTTTTTTTTTTATGTATCAGCGACCAAAATACATCGAAATGATTTCTTATGCTTTGCATCCATGAAATTTAGACCAAACACTCAAATCGAAAACTCCTCTTTGCTTTTGGTTAATGAACAACCAAATTAGATAAACTTGAATTTTTTTCCAGATAACCACCAATATTTTGTGTTGATCTGCAAACCAGTCTGTACCTTAAAGAACGGCTCCATGTTTTGGGTTGACTCGCCCAAGCTTGACATAACTCAAGTCACCATTTTACTGCAATCCTATAATATCTTATATCTTATCTTATCTTTGTCGAATCTTCTCCTGGTTCCAGAGATTTCAGTTGCCCTTTTGACCACACATTTGACCATCTTCTTCAAACAAAAAGCCTCAGTCCTGAAACACAGATATGATATTCCACTGATAAGCAGCTGAACACATTTCGGATAGCTGAAGAGGGATTCACGAGATTCAGCCTAACAACGCATATATCCAAGAGATGAAGTAGGTTCCGAAGTTATGTTGTAAGATTTTGACACGATGCACCAACTCTTTAGGCAAGGTGGAAGAAACTTAGGAAACACTCAAGCAAATTATTTAAAAACTTAATTCCTTCAAGACAGGATAAGAATAATGTTGTGCATTGCACGTGGCCACATCGAAGACTTGCTTACTAGGATTTTAGGAATAGATTTTCTAAATGCCTCTCTGGATTTACATTTTTTACATGCATTCATTTAAGTTTCCTCAAATATGTTCGAGTTTCAGTGCGTAAATAAAATGTTTCTTGCTCTCGAACTTGAGTTGCACAAAGCGAAAGCCGACTTTACGTACGCACAAGTAGTAACACGTGAATGAAAACTTTGGCGGTTTAACTGTAATGATACACAAACATAGTATTTACCTTATCTTAGGGTAGTTTAAAGACTGTATTGCTATCATGTCTTCACACATCTTCTCAGTTTTCTCCAGCTCGTCTTCAGAAACCCATCCCAAACTGAACACGTCGGCAACTAGCGTGGTTTGTTGTGAATTCGATAGCATGAATATGAATGAGGAACAACAACGAATCAGAGATGTTGGCGTCTGCACGACTTTCAGCACGTTATTAGCAGCCGGCCAATTGGAAAGAAAGCCGTGAAAATAATTTATATTTATTTTGGTCCCTTTGCATGTTGATTAGTAAATAAGAAACGTATTTTGTAAGAATTTTTCACGATCGTAAAATTAAAATTTCAAGGAAAGAGTTTCACTCTAATCATATCTGCAGATAAAATGGGTTTTAATAAAAATAAGAATTGAAAGATCTGTTTTTATTCAAAAACTTTGAAACACAGGCGTCTTACGTCTTGTGCGTAAAATGAGCAGGAGGAACACCACTAATGAATATTTTTTTTTTCACTCTGACGAAAGGCACACGCTAAAAATGTCAGTTTTAGAAACTCTTTACAGAGGCCAATTTACATCATCAACTCAGTTGATAAACCAAATTATCTAATAAAAACCCCCACCGACGCAGTGCTACTATTTCTTTGGAAAGTTGCCCCTTTTATTCATTTGACTATTGATGAGGTGGCTAAAACAAAATATCGAAAATATCAAATAAAAGTTGTAGTTAAGTATAGGAAAACGAAGGATTCTGGGCGGTTAGAAAAAAAGAAAGTCTTTTTATAACAGCTCCACTGAAGTGTCCATACCAATGCTGCTAAAAATCGTTTTCCTCGATGGGACCCTTCTTAACCCAATGACCCCTTAGAGTGACTAGAATCTAATTTCGCTTTACAATATAACTCCCAAAGCAAACATTAAGGTCAGGAGAAAAGGGAAATGATGACGTGCGTTGATAAATTTGAAGCTTCGACATCCTCACCGGCAACTTCCATCGCCATTTGAAGATTGGTTGGTTCAAATTCTCACCCCCCTGAGCCAAATAGTGTTTAGATGCCCTATCGGATTTGATGATCAATTTTTTTGTGAAGGCAAGATCAGCGACCGTCACGTTATTGCACACCTTTACTTCTGAGCCATCTGTTCGCGAAAGTGAATTTCTTACCTTTAATATTAAAAGATAAAACACGTGTTCTGACCTGACGGTTCCGGTTCAAATTACTCACCCCACCCAGGAAAGGTTCAAATTCCTCACCCTATGGTCGAGGACGTCGGTCACATGCCCTGTGAGTGAGTTACCCTGGGAGGGATACTGATGTTCGATTGATTAGCTAATTGAAGCTAATTTGATTCGGACTAACTGCAATCCGCCGTTTCCTTTCCGGGAAAGTGTAACGGTATACTAGGTCTGCCCGCCGACTCATGCGCTGCCTCACTATCACGTGCCTAAGAAAATAAGACCACCTTATCGCAGGTTAAGCTAAATCGGATCAATATCAGTATCTGGGCTACAGCCCACCAACCCCTCCTCTAATTGATTAACAACAGGATATACCTTAAAATCAAAATAGCTGAGTACCCAAAGTTTTAATATAATTTAGGTTATCAATACGAGGTTTATTCAGTCAGTTTCTTTAGTTCCTCCTCCTCCTCTTCTTCGGCCTCTTCTAACTTACTCCTAGGAAGAGGAAGCCACGATGCTCCTGGTATGTATGGAGGATCGCTAACAGCGCTCCCCTCCAGTAAGTTGTATTCCTTCTCTCTCTTTCGCCTTTCAACTTTGAATAGAAGTCTCTGTTCTTTTCTTTTACTTGTAATCTCCTTGACCCACTGAGATTCTGCAGGTATCAGCCCCCGTGCTTTGGTTATAAACTGAGGGTTCCTTCTCCGCGTGGCTTCGTATCGGTCAGGACAGATGTGCCCTTGATAACTGACTCCACGCTTACCTTAAAAATTGACACCATGTAAACTATAAAAGATGTCTTCATCGTGTATTTACTGAAACTCTGGGTGCACATTTGTAAGTGCATTCGAGATATTACGATCCTGAGTCTCATGAAGAACTGGCCAGAGATCAATATCGACTCCGCTGAAAGTTCTCGAATAAAGAAGTCATTGCAACATTCCAAGGGCGAGTCAAAGTAATAAGCAAAGAATAATTTGATTCCAAAACTCCTTTGCGTTGTCTTAGACACCTGCAAATCCCTCCAATCGGTGAAAACTGTCAACTGAGGAAAAGGACTCTGCTACATCCTCGTTGAGCAAATCACAAGACCGAGTGACGTAATAGAGTAATTGAGTGTCTAAAGTAAGCCGGGATCGCTTTGGTTCTGTTTTACTTTGAGCGTGATAGTTCTAAAAAAATTCGCACCATACTCTAAACCAATCAGATGCCAAACGAAAACCAATTGTGACTTGGTCGCCCACATTTTCCCGCGCTTTTGGTAGTTTGCTTGTTATTAGTTAGTTGGCTGATGATGACGTAAACCTTTGTTTTAATTGGCTGTTGTGATTACGTTGGTTTTGGTTCCAAATGTAAGAAAACTATAGACGACATTGAAAACACTAAAAAAGTAAAATCACGTGTCAAACGACTTTCGATGAAAATGGGAGGAGATACATGTAAGTGCCATTCATTTGCCATCATAATTCCTCTTTAAGCATTCGGAAGAAACATAATTTTCCCCTTTTCCAACTTGTTAAATACTTACCTCGTGCGTTAACACTAGTTGGTAGCAAAGGCGGCTGTCGGACATGAAGTCCAACTGCATTAGGAGTGTGAGCTTTCAGCGTCACTAACGAATCATTGCCTGCTGTTACAGCCACCCAACCAACATTGGACAGAACCACATCAGCAGCACTCGTGTCCCAGCCTATTCCCTTAATGGTGAATTCTTGTGATCCAAGCGGGGGAAACGTTTCCATGCGCTCTTTACCACCAACTGGTATCTGTAAAGAACACAGACATAAAAAAGAGACGGAATGAGCGGTTCGGATATAGTGATTAAGATTCTTATGGCGTGACTAACAGCGTATTCAACAAATCTACTGCAAACATAGGTACCTAGCCGGCATAAAAACGTTCTCACCAATAGCTGAACTGTTAAGCTATCTCAAAGTTGATGATTTGGTAAATTATCATTAATAGTTTGCTCCCCTATGTCATGTTATAATATGGAGAACAACTTGTCTCACTACCTTTTCTAAAGAATCTTACCCCAAGTAGTTCAGTCCCAGCGTGTTTGTCGTACACTTCAACAGCACGTTCCTCACTGCAGATATGGACCGGTAAATTAGGAGAAGCGACCACAGTAAAGTAAATAGATTCGATTGCCTGAAACAGTGTAATGCAAAATACATAGTAAGCGGGACAGAACATGACATTAAACAATTCAAAACCATTTCAAAGAGTCTATATTTTAGCTTGTCCTTACTATTATTAACCGACTGTTATTAACTTTAGCTGAAAAAAACTTGTATATTATACCGAGTCAACAACTGAATGACAATTAGGAATTTACTCGTTTTTCTTGACATACGTCAGTAATTTGAAGCTGCTACGCGTGAAATCGTTGCTCAAACCTTCTAGTTACGCTGGAGAGATATTGTTATAAATATACTCCCTAAAAGTACAAATCTCAAACGCATTTAGGAAGGGGTACTAAGAATTTTGGAAAGTTTCCAGACAACGTTATTGGAGAGTACATAATAAAACTCCCAATACATCTAATAAGTCCATTTTTTTTCATAACCACACAAGAAATCCAATACTTCATGGAAAAGAGTCCAAAATATTCGGCAGACCTTTTTTTCATATTACAGTGCTAAACATGATAACACCAGAAACATGTAATTATGCAACAAACCTTTGGAATGGCATCCCATTCACCATTTTGACTCTGTCTTTTTATCTAAATAATAAATAATTACATCAAATCATCGAAGCATTCCCAAAAAACAACAACAACGACAATGCAATTTCACATATCTACATAAAATGTTACTTTTTTTGGCAGTTGAGATAAATAAATTTTCTTCAAACTGCATCATTTTGAGATATTTTATTTCCTCTGCAGGGACTAATATAACCATGGAACCTCAAATTACAAAAGATTTTCACATCAAACTACACCTCAAGATAGTCCACTCTGGCCAGGCCACCAAGCAGTAAGGAAAAGCCCGGTTTAAGAATGAAGGTCCTGGGCACAAACCACAGTTTTGGATTCAAGCATCTTAGCTCTTCCATGGTCAAGAGATTTGTGATCTGTCAAAATGAGATTTAGAAAGTATGAAATGGTAGAGTTTTTCACCAAGGAAACCAATTTAAACAAATTATCATGCTGTAGTTGTTTATTTGCAATATGAATGATTTTAGTAGAAGTATTTTGCAATCTGTCCACTGTTATCTTCTGTGAGACATTCTGAACAGACGGAGGCCAACTTCCTACTGACCAATCACAATAAGGTTCAGGGTATGTGAACAAACCTTTCCCTTTCAATCCCAAGATCTATACAGAAATTCCTCTTACTGTCTTCCATTAATTGTTAATAATATTGGTTCAGAGAATTTGGTGTTCAATCAAGTAATACTCTTAGAGTTGATATTTTTCCTTGTCTACTTGTCTGCCTCACACATGCATTGAATTTATATTGCACAGAGCAATTGCCTCAGTCACTCCCAGGAGAAAAAAGGATGAAATCACAACTTAATTATCATTTTTGTTTGCAGTTTTCTTTTCTAACTCCTCATTGGCTTTCTCCTTGGAACACAATAACACTCCATAAATATTTCTGATGCTCAAAGTTATCTGAATTTCATGATAACCTAAGTGGGATATAAATTTTGAAATTAAAAAAAATATATCTATTACCTAGAAGACAGAACATTAATAAAAGAATTAGATATTTTCATTGCCTAAAAACATTATATTAAATTTGATCTAACTATATTCATGATATTTCCATGACATAAAAGCAAAGCATGAAACTTCCACTTATAAAATAAAATGGAACAACTCATTTGTACCTGGTTTTCACTGATAACTCCTGGCGTGTCATACAGCCATCTCTGGTTCCTGTTTGGTTGATACATCACAAAACTTGGCTTAAAAGTTTGAAGCCCTGTTTGTGAAGGAACTATTGCTGTTGAACTTCCCTTTCCAATAGAACTTTTCTTCTTTTTATCTCGGTAGCTTGTTTCTTCTTTAGATATGATCTCATCATCAATTTGATATTCTATATCATCAGGCTTTTGCTGAAGAGGATGAAAAGAGAAGAAAAAGTCAAAGCCAAAGGCAAAAGATTCCCTAGGAAATTATGTGGAGAGATGAAGTGGTCTCATGGTAGTGTTACAAAATTTGATTTTGAACTTGACTGTCCAACTTTGAGAACAGTTAGAAGTCCCTGCATTGTGAGCTTAAGTAAGGCACTTGACTCTGAGGAGTGGCTCTCCATTCAAAGTAACTAATGGGAACCACTATTTTTGGGGAATTACCTTATCAAATGCTGTGACAGTTTGCATTGTCTAACCCAAACAGTAGCTATCTACATGTAAAGCACACGAGAAGACTTATCAACAACCTTAAACTCTTGACTAACATGTCACTCTTTATAAGAGCCAACAGCAAAGGTGACGTTATTTAGAGGAATGACAAAATATCCTAAAAAACACAGGATGATGGAGTATTCTAAAACACCAAATGATGTCATTTGTGTTACATGTAAATTAGTAATTAAATAGAGAACAAAAAGTTCTGTCATAAATACTACAAGGGGATGCACCTAAAATGGTTACATTAGTGTATAGGTGTGTAAATATTTGGGGAAACAAAACAGGCCATTATAGAGTAGATTGCCAGCTTCAGATGCACTATCTGTTGCCTCTGAAAGTCACAATCTATCTTGTATAGCCTCTTCAGAATATTATTGATCTAATTAGTAGAGCTAATTGGATCAATAATATGATTCATTTATCCATCAGTCTGGTTCACCTCCCTACTGAATAGAGAAGATCAACTTGCTGCCTTCTAATGGGCAAACTACATAATTCTTATCAACTTTCCTTATGCTAAGATTCCTGTTAATTTTTAGAATGCTGGAAACTATCCTAAATCATAAAGTATTTTTCCTTTACCTCAGATTGTCATGTCTGAGAAACACCCACCTCATAAACACCTTCATGCAATCTTCTCAACAACTTCCCTAACATCATGTGACCAATAGGAAACCTTATCATCCTTTGTGTGGTGCATGGCCATAAACTGACTGTAGCCCTCTGTAATAAGTCAGCATTCTTATGAACACTAAATAAATCCAACAACAGGTTAAATAGTGACGTTTTTCCAGCATTGCTACAGCCGATAAGATAAATGTCTCCCTTGTCATCCCAGTGTTCGCTGATTTTTCTCACCAGTTGTGTTATACCATAACCAGTTTTGGCACTGATCAGGCACATACTCTTAATGTTGGCACCTTCCAAGCCATGAGCTTGGCACATTTTAAAGAGCACTTCTTTCAAATGTCGTTCTTGTTTTCCAGTATGTGTTCCTTCCACTGGAAGCATGTCAGCTTTGTTGCCAACAATAATGATCCTTTTTGCTTCACCCACAGTTTGAAGAAGATTCAGAAAAAGACTTCCAGGAAGATCCATCATGTCTACAACATAGAGAATCAATCCTTTTCTTCTTTCTATGCGTCCCACGTACTCCATTACCTCGCTTGAGGTTATTGTGATGGGAAAGGGTTCATTGTAATGTTTCAAGTTGAAACACTTCTGACAAACCAAAGTTCTGGCAAGCCACTCAGAGACTGGACCTTTTTCACCTGTAATTGGATTCTTTGAAGGCATAACGTAGCCTCCCTGTGAAGGATCTTCGCTTTGGAAAGCAGATCCGCAACCAAGACACTTAGGAATCGGTTGCTCAAACTCATAGACATGGGTACCACTCTCAACTTCTGAAGATTCGGGCTCTGCGAGTGAAGGTTCGTCGTTGAAAACTGTATTGATATCGACACCTGTTGGCGTAATTCCACTGACCCTTTTAGCACTGTCTGGACTTTTTTCATCTAAATTGCCATCTTCCTCAAAAAGTAGAGATGACGCTCTGAAAGATCTTCGAAATAAGTTCAGCTTGTTCCAGCATTGGACATTACCACGTAGCTGTGATGTCACAACTTTAGAGATGTGTTTTTTCCTTGCAAGGTTGTTAAATTTTAGTCTATTTACTCTCCAAAAGAGTCCCCTTAACCCTGAATAATGAATCATTGACATGATATTTTGCTTCGCTCGTGCGATCAGAAGCATGTCACCAAACTACGTCTGCCATCTTAGATTAAGGTACATCCGCTGTCATACCGCAGGCGGTTAGTTTCCCAGTCCCAAATCCTACCCGATCCACTTGTGGTAAGTCTCTTTGAGTATACTGGAAAATTGCAGAGTATAGTAACACTCCCAAAATTCTATAGGAATATGTATTTTAACTACCAAAGCTAAGTATTGTCAGCTAACTTAAGGTTGAAAATATTGTTGTTTTTTGTTATCTCGCTCTAGGATTTCTCAAGTTCTTAGTTCGAATTGCTGTCGAGTTGATCAAATGTCTAGTCGATTGAAATTATAACTTTTCCAGCCAGTTTCTATGAGAACGGAAGGGAAACGACAAACGTTCCAATGGCATATAAAATTCATTTAAAATCATCACATTTTTTTGTAATATTGTGGAAAACAATCTTATACGTAGTCCATGTTTTGAGGAAATTTTTCGTCACAGTCATCCGCGATCAATTAACTCATCGAATATACCTTGAGAGGTCAGAAATGAGATGGTAAGTTTAAAGAGAAACAGTGGTGCTGCGTCGGTGGGTTATTGCGAAACGGTTTCGTTTTATGAACCGCTGTGTTGATTATGGAAATTGGTCACCGCAAAGATGGTTTCGTTTTTTCGTTTCGGGTTCAAATTTTATCCTAATGATCATGTATTTTTCTTCTTTTTAACATCTCTTTTATCCACAATTAACTAACAAAATTCAAACCAAAATGCTCACAAAATTTATTTGAATTACTTTTAAAATTTTATTTGTTTACTTTCTCACTGCTGAAGTTGACCCCACAAAGCGCTGGCCGTGCGCTTAAACTCAAAGCGAGAAATACTGAGTTCTCGCTATCCTACCGAAAATCTACAGAGGACGAGAAAGACTGCCCCATTGTCCTGAATCACACTTGAGATGTTCTTTCTAACAATAAGTACAGTTTACAAGCTTTAAAAGCCATGCATTCTGAACAAACGCGCAAGATGTTTCACCTTTATTGTAAAATTGGCGTGTCTTGGATCTGTCAAATTAACATAAACGCTGCTTGGTAATCCCAACAGCTGTCGCATATAACACTTAACCAGTAACCTTAGACGGTAAGTGACACCTTTTGTGCATAGTTTACCCATTAACAGTGCCTAAAGCAATCTAATTGGCGGAGAGCGCGACTGTCTTTGTTTAAGGTGCTTTAGCAGTAAATTACGTATTCAGCGGTAATGTCTACCTCAACGGGAGATTGTGTACCTTGACAACGAACCAAAGCCAAAAAGTTTGCTCAGCAATTCAACAGAATCTACTGATTGCAGTCGAAGTTTAAAGCGTTAAAAATGGGCTTCACAGAATTAACCAACCCTCATAAAGCCAGCAATTTGCCAGGGTTTGTAAAGTTGTTTAGTTGCCGATTTTATCCCAGTTTGATGTTAGCATCTGCCTTCAAGTGGATCATTAGCTTGTGACACAATTGAATGGTAGTTTGTATTTAAATAGAAAGTACAACAAGTTGAGCTTGAGAAAACAGTTATAAAAGATAATCAATGTGTACGCCGAGAAACAAGAAGTTTTTGCGCGATAAATTTTGAAGAAGAGTGGCGATCACGGAAATTTGAGACTTTTACATAGGGAAATTTAGTTATGTGTGCCAATTATTAAAGTCACTGAGATCTTTACGGGAAAATTTAAGTTTGTTTTTAAGTCACGAAGTTCCCGTGAAGAAAAGGAGGAGATAGGAAAATAAACAAAATGGAAATAGGTCCTCCAAAGAACCGATCTAATCGTCGTATTAAAATACATAAAAGAGAAAACGACTTAAAGAGATTCCAAAATGGGACCTTTCTTACTGAAATGAGAAAAATAACAAAGTTTGCTTTGAGAGCGAGATTTTTGCAGAAATGGTTAGTTTTTGCAAGAAATATGTTGAAACGTTTGCGCCAAATTTTCGATGAAACAATATTTTCTACCGAAGGCGATCTAGATAGATCATATCGAGAGTTTCCTGATCCTCAGCGAGGCTATTATGCATTTATGTTTCACACTGAGTGGGCTAGCGGGCTGCTACAAGAAAAGTTTCGCAAGAAATTGATGTGAGTATGCATGTTTATGCCTTATTTATCCGCAGATACCGCGGTTACTGTCCTCAGCTGAAATACGAATGCGGCCATACATATGGAATCGCTACTGATAAACTCACAACAGTAAGTTGATACAATGAAGGATTCTTTATTTAGTTCATTCAACCGAGTTCATCTGAACAAATCGGCTGGAATAATGGCTTTGAATGTATCATGATCGTTATCACTTCAAAAGAATTACCGATTTTTCAATAATCTTTTAAAAGCATTCGTGTGCCTGGAAACGCTTTCAAGTTTCGAGTGAATACAGTGATACGTTTTGAAAAAACTTGTTCTATGAAAATGGGTTTACTATTGTGCATGCAGTTACACCAAAATACTTACTCTCTGAAGGTGTTATGAAATTCCAGATGAAGTTCTTTGACCTCCATCAAAGGTGCCATGATTATTTCAATTAGAAAAAGGCTATACATACAAACACGTTGTTACTGTAATGTCAAGTTCAAATTCATTCATTTACTGCCATCGTGGCCCTTTTGTTGTTAAAATGTTCGACCAATTCTTAAAACTGATTTTTTGTTAACGTCACCTCAGAGGCACATGCGAAACGAGAAGCTTGTCCCGATGACTCTACCAGATCCGAGAGAGAGACAACCTTTCCTGCCCCAACCGAATGGAGATAACAAACTCACGGCTGCCATGGTTCCCTACTACACAGGTTGAGTATACATTACAATAGAAATAAAAAAAAACATTTCTTTGCACGCCCACAACTTCATATGAGTCCAGAAAGATGCTTTTGTCTACTAGTTCCGCTCCATTGTTAGGGCATTATTTGGTAAACTGGTATTCAAAAGGCATTGCTGCTCACTAAGCATGTTGTATTGGCTTCGCCAATCGGTTTGCCACTATTGATGGCTTACAGTGAGAATTAGACTCACTGCTCCGCCGGCGCACGGTCATTCTGTTTGATCCAGCTTTCATTTGGCAGTCTTAGTAAACGATCGATTTTAGTTTTAGCTGCCTCAAGAGTATCATGAGACATGGTATACCGTAAATATATCATAAGAATCATGTGTACTCTTCACTAACTCGGTGATTTTGAACTTGTTATGACACCTTTCACAAACATAAATCTTAATCAAACTCATGTCACGTACCGCCCGACGTCTTTTTTCACGCACTTGTCATTTGTGTGTCATAGCTATGTAAATAAGTCTTATCGATGTTGTTATATGGGTTTAAAATTTCTCTCAAAGCTGAAGGGTTGACATTAAAAGCCTTATTTTGAATAAAAAATAGCTTCATAACACTGACATCTTCACGCAGCCATTCACAAATGATCGTTATCGATCGTGCGCGTATTCTAAGCAAGAAGGAAAAGAAATTAGAGCAGTGGGTCGGGAATGCAGAATTTGCCCGACAACATGAAGAATGACATTATGACCAACGTCCATGTTTTGATATCAGAATCGGGAACAATCGGGCACGACCGAGATCACTCGGAAGCTTTCCTGCAAGTGTTTTGACCTTGAGGCTTGGCTGGATTAGCAAAAGTGATTCCCGCAAAGAAGTCCATTGAAACGCCTATTTAATGCTGCAAAATGAAATTTTCACGATGAAATCTTTAATTCAAGAACATTGTCACTAAGTCTCAAATTTAAAATCATTCATGTACCGGACAGCATCCTTAAAATACACATATTCAAGTACATCAATATTCAAGGCACATCTTTAAATTGTTTGAATGAAAGAATAAGAGTAGTCATGCACGTAAACTCATCCTTGCTGAATTTTAACATTGCGAAATAGAGCCTTATGAATTATTTGACTAAAAATGACTGAATGCTTCTGGTTTCAGGTTACGTTCCTACGATGCGATTCTTGTACGGTTCTCGCTACAGAGAAGCAACAGAGCAGGCTGTCAGCGATTTCATGAAGAAGGACAAAACTCACAGAGCAGAACAAGATGATCTGAAAAAAACTGTCTACAGTCATCCGAAACTAAAACCTGTACCAACTTACAGAGAACCTACAAATTACCCCGATCTAACACCTAAATACGCTAAAGGATACTTTCCCAGTAAGTGAAGCACATTATACAACAATATCCACTGGCGATTGGCAAATCACTAGTAACTTGGTGAAATCTAAAAGCCTCTTTGTTATTGGTTGATAAAAGTGTATTCAATAATCAGCAAAAATGCCTCGCTGTTCTTTAGTGTCTTAAAGACAAAGGCGAGAGTAAAATCAATTTACAGTTACCCTGATAGCAACTAATCAAGGGTATCTCGCTTCTTGAAGGTGAACATCGTGAATTCTGCGAGGCACCTTTACCAGGCTACACGGGTTATGTACCACGGAGGAGAGAGCATGACCTGGGAACTAGGTATGCCACCTGGACCAAAGGCGGATTCACGGACTCTCTTGAAACGCGTATGAAACAGGAAGGCTTAGCTACCCAAGCCATTGACGTAACCAGGTAAACAAAACAAATAACAAAAGGCTCGATTCGCATTCTTGACGCTTATCAATAACTAACGCTTATCCCTTTAGGATGCCAGTTGCAACAGTGAAGCCGCTGATCGCAGAGCACGGAACGCTGTACAGGGAAATGGGAATGAAACCAAAATACACAGGATACATACCACGTAAGTCGACACTCTCCCCTCAACTTATTTCACTGAGCGTCATAAGTGATACAAGATTACTTCGTTTTGGCTTTACTGCCATCTGTGATCGATAAAAAAATAACCTCGAACCACTTTCTGAGAAAATCTGAGGTTGATTTCTCATCAGCCACTTGTGGTAATTTCCTGTCTCCTGATTAGCTGCAGTGATCTCTTTGACACCCACCCGAAGTGTTACCTTTCTACTATGTTTTAGGTTTCTGTTTTGGTTCCTCTTGCTTGCATCAGCACTTGACTGACTGCTTACTTGTTTACATTCTCTCATTCCTCCCTCTTTTCACTTCACAGAGCGGCGTTTCAGATTCGGCAACACATATGGTGACACAACTCGGTCATTACCTGTCTGTTTTGACACATTTGGATATTCAACTGCCAAATACCTGACAACACCCGTCATGTGAGGAGCCTTGGCATACTTTCGCGAACAAAAACCTGTCTCTTCAAGTGTTAGAGAGGAAATTTCGCTACATAAGTTTTACTAAGATCACCTTAGTTGAAAATTTATCGTTGTTCTTAACTTCTTTTAGTAAATATTGCAAAATTTAGGTTTAAACTAAACGAATTACGAAGAAAAATGTCATCAAGTCTAAGTTGAGGTATAAGAACGAGCATCAAGTAAGTTACAGCAGATCCCAATTCCCTCAATTTATTCCAAAACGAGGAAACAACAAATGCCTGCTTTGCCATTTGAGAATCGACCTTGCTTCGTTTTGTACTTATTCTCAAAACGATCCATCCTCCTGAAAAAGAAAATATCTTCTGTTTCTTAAACTTGTGCCGTTCCTTGATCCTATCAGTGCTTTGGTTCTAAACCTTAGGTGATGGGTGAATCAATTTTTTTATGTGTTGATAAATATTCAGGTGAGGAGCATAATAGTTCAGTATGTATAGTTTGCAAACCTAAATTAACCTGTTAACTTAATTTATTGAGAGTGATTTCATTATCTAAGAGTGAGATAAACCCCGAGCGTTCTAATAGATATATTTTTTTCACAAGCATTAAATCCCAATTGTAATATTGATAGTCATAATAAAGTGTTATACTTTGTCTCACGATTTAGTCCTTTTCGTGGATTTGCGATGTATCGAATTTAATCTGCGAATCTATTTCGGGCGAAGTCAAAAAGGTTGACTGGTTTCGCATCATATTGTCGTCGTTGGTGTTTTTTTTTTATTAGAGGTTAATGCGTCGATCAATTCGAAGCTTCAACATCCCTCCCAGGCAACCACCCAGACATTTAAACCACAGCAGTCGAGCTCTTTGAAGACCCGGATTTAAAAGAACAGAATTCAAAACACGAATAATAGAATCGCAGTTTGCATTACACATTATGGAACGACGCAAACATAATTCGGAATACGAAGAATCGAATACAGAAGCAAGCAACAAAACAACAACGACGTATTAGCGAACATAATTGAACACAATTCGTAACATTAAAAACACCAGAGAAAACATTAAAAACCGTATTGGCAAACAACAAAACTAAATTCCAAACTTAATTTTGGCGATAATCACCCCTCATACTTGAGCACAGATACCTGAGGTATCGACATCATGTCAGCTGACTTTCTACACCCCATGGCCAGCAAAAGGCAACGACCCTGTGCTGGGGTGCAAGTGATTTCACAACTTTTACGGCTGATATCGTTATATTGGACTAAGCATCGACATTGTTTTCTTCCAACCGCTTCAAGCTGGTACAATTAAAAGTAATGGAAATTTTGATTAAAAAAGGGTTAGATAAAGACAATTTGAGAAATACAAGTGGATCACACCGAAAATTCGAATTCTTGTACCTAAACGTTAAATTCGTGTATTTAAAACAAAAACACTAATGGATTGTTTAGAATGCTTTATTTCTGTTAGAGACGTGCAGTTCTTAGGTTTTTCCCTTTATTCTGAAATAAACAACAGTTGCTATTTTCAGCAAGATGTTTAGAGGCACACCTAGAATAACCTCAGAATCGCTCTGACTGTAAACAGCTAGAAGCTAGCTTGAAGTAGTAAAGGTTCCTTTCTGAGGTGATCTTATTCTTCTTTTTTAAAAGGCTCGGAATTTACATTCATGATTAACTGCATATACGTCGCTTTCGTCTTTATAATCACTTAAATAGCCAACAGCTACATGAAATAAATAAATATTTGCACTTTGTGCCAAATTACATAAAAAATCAACGGCTAGCTAAATCATCGACAATCTTTGCATATTCCTCTCTTGGTCTATTTGTAATCAGACTTATGTGCAAATTTCCATTTGCTGTTAAATAAAATTTACCTCATAAATTGACTAAAGACTATCACTTATACTATTTTATTGGTGAAAGAGACGCAAATTCTAACTGTATTTAACAATATTTATAAAATTATCCATAACCAAAACCACTTATTTTCAACAGGAAGTTACCATCTCAGAGGGTTTTTGTACTGAAAACTTCCTACTGAAACATAGCCACTTGTATCAACACCTAAAACGTTTGATTTGTTTCTCTAAATTAACAAGACCGACGAGGACCGTCTAAAGTGTCCTGAACATCACCAACTACAATCGATCATGACAATTATATCGGCTATGAAATGGTAGTTTCAGCTCAATTTACAGCATCTTTTTTTAAACAACATATAAAAAAATATATGAAAGGCTACTTAGGCTCGATAACAAGTTTTGTTGAGGAAACTAGTCCGCGCGTCCCCGGGCCCCAAAGGACTCAGATGTGTAGAAATCGATTCCTAACACTAACTTGCTGAATGCTAACATCATCATGATGTTAGCTGATGAGACCAACCAACGGTAACAGTGTCGGCGAGAGCAACTTTTACAAGAAATAAATAGGAAAACATACACATCGTTAAACTTTACGAATGTTCTTTTTTTTTCTTCTCGGTATCAAAGGTTCGTAACAAAAAAAAAATAGAAGTTTAATCCCAACGAGTAGCACGAACATGTCGCTATTCTCGTTCTTCACTGACAATTTTCACGCTAGTCTTTTGTAGTGTGGTTGAGAACCACAATAAAGAACCAAATGTACTCGGGTTTTATGCGACTATTAAGGGCTCACACTATTTCTTGGTTGTGACAGACTTTCGGGAAGTAGTTCAGCTTTGACGATGGGTACGGAAAAGCACTAGCATTGTCAGCAAGACTAAAATAACACATGTTTATAAATTAAAGATATATCACAATTTCCTAGAATAAGTTACTAATATTTCAGCTGGGCATCAAGCTGCTATGCAGCCTGCATCAACATTTTAACCATAATCTATCGTGTTGTAGTCTTACTCCTCGTTATCACATGCAGGGAAGACTCCAAATTGAAAGGAAAGGGAACACTCGCCTTCTCTCTTTGAGACACATTCACATATTTTTTCTCACTTGCTGTGCACATGAATACATAGCTTCCAGATCTCCTTTTTAGGGTTGCTCGATAGAAAATGCAAACAGCCATCTTTCTGTTTGCTAGTCTAAGTTAATTACGAAGATAATTCAACCACCATTTTTAAATTAAAATTAACTAGTATACTGTTTTCATATGAGACTTGTATCTTTTAGAGGTAATTTTAGAGGCCGTCGAGCAAAGCCTTTTTTCGGTCTCCTTCAAGAGAGCCAATACCTCTTCCTTTACTCTTTCAAATGAGAGTCCTCCCCATCTCTCTCTCATACATATTGATATTCTCTTTAAACATGCGTAGGCCACTTACGCATCAAACGGTAGAAAAGTAAATTGCGAAGCATACATGCCGGGCTCTGCACGTTCCACTCTCCTAAACTTACCATTACTTTTGATGGCGAGGTAGCCCGTGTTATTATAAATATTTATAATATTGAATGGCCTGTATGTTAGGTAGTGGTTTTCTTCCATGTGCTCCACAAACAAAGAATCAATGCTCAGGTTCCCCTGAAAGAGGTATAGAAAGAAAATTAAGGAATTCTTCGGTTTGACGATATTGGCGATATTAACACTTGCACATTTTTACTGATATGAGTGAATCTTTCCCAGCTTGGTTAAAAGTCTTCCTCACGCCACTAGTTCAAAATTTCCGATGCATGTTCATCTCGGTAAAGCTTTTCAGCTTAAAGAAACAAGGGGTATGGAAGAGCGAGATTTTTACCAACGAGCAGCTGCAGTAACTATCAGATAAAAACAGAAGATGTAAATGCATCTAAAAAATGCAGTAATCAGGTGAAGAACGTAATGGACATAAATGCACTTGGCGAGTGGTTATTGCGATACTCGTTATATCAAAGCTGAATAGAAATCGAGATTGGGCCGACATAAAATGATGGGAAATCATATTCTCTTGATTGGACCTAATAATTATCAAAGAGAAGGAATGTTACGCTTGATACTTACTCTCCCTATAAATCGTCCTCTTTTTCTGCCTCTTAATTCACATGCTAAGAAATTTTGGCTCAAAATTCCCTTAAACCTCTTCAAAGTTTTATTATAGCTTTGCATTTCAAGTTTGGCTGAAGGATAAAAAAAAAAAGACATTAAAAGTTTTGCATATCAGGAATCATTTACGGGAGAGCAGGGATAGAGTTTGGCTGACTGCAATATCGTATACGGAAAGAGATTAAAAATTTTAAACCTATTACTTGGAAATAGCACGCTAATAATTAAAGGACGTAGCCAAAATAGTTTTCTTTCAATCTCTCAAACGATCTATGCTGGCAATTATGATGATATCAGTGACATGGAGACGAAAAGTTACTCTAAAATGAATGTAAATATGGAAGACAGACACCCCTCCTCATAATTTTGTCAGGGGGTGCCGTCAGGTTGGTACATTCTCCACCTAAGTGAAGTTTATAAGAACATTCATGCAAACTGAGGTTTCTTGAAATCAGGAAGAACTTTCCTGGGCACAAAAATAGCCCCAAAACTCCGCACTAAACTGAAAAAAAAAAGGCTCCACGGATTTTCGGGCCAAACTGAAAAAGGAATCACACCCACGTGTGCGCTAGGAAGGAGACATTAACAACTTCACTTACTGTATTCTGACGAATTGTTCATTGTGGCCTGCACAGTTCCATTTTTTAAAATTTCTAGAAAATAACCAGTCCTTGAATATAACCTGCCCCTGAGTGTAGCCGTAGGATCAACGAAAAGTTTATTCATGGCATTCGAGCTTCTTGGTTGTCTTGAAAGTCCATCCTCCGACGATCTGAATTTTGGGTTTACAGGAGTTCCTTGCACTGTGCTCGAAGACAAACAGGAAACCACAAAGAAAAAACAGGCAATCTGTCGAAAAATTAATAACAGTTATTTTTACAGAGACCTGCTAAGTATCAATCCTAATCTTGCCGATAGGAATTGTTGTCAATGAGTCACAGGCCTACCTAAGAGGAAGAAAGACAAAGTTCTTCCAACAAAAAGCCAAACTTATAACCTTACATACTACATACATGCATAGTTTTTATAATGACCTTAGAAAAATATCTTATTATCATCGAATGCGAGACGGAAACATTATCAATTACCATTACTTGTTCGGTACGGCAAATCCAGATGCGTGCGCTTAACCGCGCAATTTCATAATTCCGCCAATTACGAATTTACACTATAATTTATAATCGATTTTTAGCTTTTTTGGGCCGCTTTTGGCGAATCAAGCTAAGCCAATTTGAACACGAAACAGATAGACATACAACTGGCGTCAAGCATGAGCTAAAAAGCCCTTGTGATCAAGAAAGACTAAGTATTCACTGAGGGTAATGCCTAGATAACCATGTGGAGATTGGACCAGTACGTTCTTTTTCTTCATTTGATTGTAACTCGACATAAACACAAACTTTTATACACAAAGAACGTGGGCAATATCGGGACACTAACAACGAAAAGGTTTCGTAAATAATGATTTATTTCATGATTAAAAGCCGATTTTTAAGACGTTTTTTTATGAGAAGAAATCAAGATGTCATGTGTGGACACGCCATGAGGTTCCGCTCTCCACTCAGGTAACAAGCAATTACTCAAGATCAGCTCAATCTTGCTCCATCTAACAAATTGGTTAAAATCTGACTGGATGCTAAATTCAACCTATCAAGCAGTTTAATAAATGATGTCTAATCACATATCTCTGTTTCCGATTGAAAACACGTTCCAAAGACACTGTGACACTGCGTCGGTGGGGGAGTTTAACAAGATATTTTGGTTTTGTCAGCTGAATTAATTACGTAAATTGGTCACCCTAAGAGTTTCTAAGCTGAAGTTCCGAGCGTTTGCCCCTCGTCATTTCCTCTGACGAAGGGCTAACGCTCGAAACGTCGGTTAAGATACTCTTCACGGTGGTCAATTTACATGATGTACTTTTCTATTTTCAGCATTCTTTGATATAAGAAAAAATTCAAAACTTTTCAGTGACATCACTCGCTTTGCTCACGGTTCCGGATGAGTTCGGGCATTGACGTAAGTGCCATGACCTGTACGAAAATATAGACAATAGAAAAAAATGCAGTCGATTTTCTCGTCACGGAATCAATCCCCACGAACCGCGCGCTTACTGGGAGAAAAACAACTGCCAATAGGCACCATCACATGAAAATGAAGCACCATCATCCAAAGAGCCAAACTGATGTCATGAATGTATCATGCGATTTTATGATCTTAGCGAGTGTTTCGAAAGCACGATGATTCGGTTCAAAAGCCATGTCTGGCTGGTTTGTACTTGTTTATGACATAGGCAAATAGTTTGCACTTGAAGCCAGAAGCTCTGTCTAATATCTACGTCTGGCTGGTTTTTCCAAGTTTACATAAAAATCAAATAGTATGCACTTGAAGCAATATAGCCTTTTAATGTGACAGAAGACAAATGGACCCCATTTCAAATTCAAAACTAGCACGATATTTACTACCAATCTACTTTAATTGTCACCGGTTTTATTCCCTAAACGAAATATATGAACAATTGAAATTGTTTTATAGTCTTTAACTTAAGAGATATAGACGTTAAAGTAGAAATTAAGGAAATAAATTGATCAAAGACCTTCTTTGAAATTCGTCGTGGGCGTTATGTTTCGTTACTATCAGGTAACTTTATTTTGAGAATCAACAGAGTGATTACTTTCTCCCTCGGTACAAAGTCACTTGAAAGACAGCGTGACTTAGGCCGATTGATTCAACTGAAGACTAGCTGAAGTTGACATGAATAACTTAACATAAAAATGCACGACCTCGGTCAAGATCAGTCACTTCATCGGGTGCAAAAACGTGAATCAGCCGTAAAACGCAAAAACGCAATCAGCCGTAACCCACGGAAGGATATCAATTGATAACATAACATTTTGCGTAAAGCCGTCTCTTCAAGGGGAGACTAATTTCAAGAAATGATTTCAACTTCATTTTGAGTGTAACCCTCTGTATTTTCATATTTGTTCTTGAAAGTTTGTTTGTGTTAAATGCTTTCCTTATTTGAAGTGTCAAGGATTATCCGGTTCATTAGAGGACATCGTGGACAATAAGGTCGCAGACGACTTATAGCTAACATTAGTAAAGCTAAGCTTAGAAAAAAATCTCAGAACAAAACCAAAACAAAACAAAGGCTATCAATACAATGTAAATTGTCTGACTGCAAAGATTGATCATATTCTTGTAAAAGAAAAAGTAGTTTGTCCAAGACACTGATAAGACATCACCCCCCGCCCCTACCACCACCCACCCCCTTGCCCCCCCGAAAGTCAACAACCATTTCTTAAACATGCTGACAATGGAGTTCCCAGATAAGATAATTTTTGTAACTTCGGACGAACTAGTCAAGACGTGACTTTAAGGTCAGTGAAAAACGCAATCAATTAGTCACGTTCACTCGCGAAATAACTGTTTTCAAGCGACAAGATCTGTTCTAAGGTAAGTCACTTTAAACGTACCAGTAAGACGCCCAAACGCAGCAATGCCATGACAAAACAATCGAAGTTGTCGTTTGTGTGTGTTGTCGAAGATGACGACCGCCTTCTCTTCATTGGTTCTACTCCTCTCATGAATAACACTTCTATAACCAGTGTTCACTTATTTTGTGCATATAAAAACTCTACAAACTTCCTGATTTCATGTGAAACCGGAATATATCAACCTCTAAATCCAGCAATGATCTTAAGACCTAATTTCAAAAACCCTTGCAGTGGTATCGAAAAATTTTAAAAGCTTCCCTCTCGGAAGTGATCACCATAACATTTCTATAATTATTTATTCCATTTCATTCATTTTTTGCTCTTGTCTCTCAAGAGGTCTAGTAGAGTCGGCAAAGAAGACTAGTGAATCATAACATCGTTAACGACTTTTGTTCAAAAGAGGTTCTACTTAAGAGTTCCGCCCGTTCGTTCACACTTTACACACAACATGTTGCCCAAAATCATAATGGAGAGAGCAGGATCAAAGTTTAAAACATTTCAACCAGCGACAGGTTCTGACAAAGCGATAAAAAGTTTAAAAAAACGCCCACGAAATCGAGTTTAAAAGAATTAAAATTAAAGCGTAGAGGACAAAAGGAAGTCTCGAATAGTTAAAGATTGCTCGAAATAAAACAAGTTCCTTTCTTAAAGGACAGACAACGTGCTTCATCACATAGCCGTTAAAGGAATGATACGTCGTTTAATATATTTCGATTGAGTCAGTCCTTTGATTTCTAAATTTTTATGACGCACAGGTAATTTAAATAGCTTCCATTTGCAGATGGAAAATTTGCAGAATATCACTTAATAGTGTTCTTGTGACGAAGTTTCGCTATTCATTATATGGCAAGTAAATTGAATTACTATTTCTTAATTTTGCGGTACCAATGAGTCTGATTAAAGAAACGGAGTAAAGCGCTTTGTAAGCGAAGGTATTCCAGATATGTTCAAGTACTTAACGAAAACAGAAGAACTTTCGCATAACAGACATGTGGTTGGTTACCAGTTTCCTGAGAGGGCTTTTCTCTGCACTGAAGTTTTCCATTTTAATGCGATAAGTGCGGTTAGACCTTGGCAAAACACTTGATCCCACTCAAAGCTTCAGTGGTTATCTCCCACAGCGAATATCAATAACGGACTTTCCATCATTAAATAAAAGTGAAAAAACAAAATTTGTAACATTTTATGATAACTAAATCAACAAATTTCTGCTCTGTCGCTTCCAATCTGTTAATTTTTTTTTTTGGACAAAAAGCCTTCTCTACATTCGGAAGCCGAGGAAAAGTCTCGAATGTCGAAGGATACCGAGGTTTGAGTTTAGATTGCCACAAGGAAAGGCAGAGTAACTTTAAATCAACCGATTCAGCGATGTCGTGTGGGTGAATAGCGGAAAATTATAACCACCAATATTCTACGCGGTTAGTTGACCTCTTGGAAGGAAAATAATCTCCGTTTTTTTGTTCAAAGTCTTAAAACGTAATGTTGCGATTTGCAAAAGATACACCTTTAATTAAAAGTTGAAATGAATATTCATCTATCGATCTATTTCACTTGAAGTAATGCTCACTTTATTCTTTAATCAAAACAATTACCATAGCTGTTGAGAAGATGTAGCATTCTTGAAAACGTCTCTTTAAATGATCCTGTTTTTAACTTAAGTTCATGTGACGTTTTTGCTTGGTCAAGAGTACAAAGACTCAAAGTCCAGTATAAAAGGAAGTCATTGCAAAAGTTATTACGAGAAGCTATCGAGCACACGTACACTTTCGTTCAGTGAGGGTACCAACTCATTGAGGTCAATTTAGAGTCATTACAAACGACCCATCAAACAAAGATCGCTAATGTCGAGTGTTTAATTGGATATTTGATATTGAAATCAACTATAAGCGAATTTGATGTTTTCCTGGATTAAATCAGCCCAGGTAAAAGGTAAAAGCGCTGAAACGTACAAACTAATTTAAAAACGGATAACTGTTACCGTGGAGACCTCTTTTTATATAGCAATCATCTTAATCTTTCCCGAAATAGAGGCTTCTTATCACTATTGCATGTTTTACTCTCAATTCATGTGTCATGGCGACCCTTATTAGTTTGTAGCCTACGTACCCTTCCCCCCCCCAAAGAGTAACGGAAGGGAGGGTTACTTCCTTTCCTCACTAAGCCGTGTAACTATAACATCCGACGAACAAAACGGAATTAAAAAATACCGAGCCGCCAAAAATTATTTATCGAAATTATCCTGACCTTTTTTTTTCAACTAGCTCGATTGACAGTCTTGTAGCCAGGCCTGTCCCGACTTTGCTCGTAAAATGCTGGAAAGTTGCTCACTGGAATGCCAAAAAGTTGCTAAAAAATTGC